GCCACTCTCAGAACTGTCAGTAAAACAATCTGATTCGGAGTCATTTATGAGTTGAAAAATGTCTGAATCTTCCAAACGAGACGACGCCATGGTGAGCTGACAATATCACTGTTCTCGCTGCGAAACTTTGAAGCTGTATGACTGCTTGGCTGTGGTATAAAGACGATAGCCTTGAAAGTTCTGATAAACTAACCGAGCAGGGTCAGAACAGAGAACTTGTTGTGTATAAACAATCAACGTTCTTATAAACAAAGAGATAGACGCCCACATCTCTGCATACCGAAAGAAGGTACGTGTATAAGCTTTGAGACATGCAAGACTAAACATGTCTACATAACCATCCGCTGTGTTGCCACATCTACATACAGCATTCTTAGTTCCAAGAACTGTATGAATTCTTGTAGATAGATGACAAATTTGGGAATTTTATACTTGGAATCAGTCTAAAAATTTTTACACATTTTATAAAGTCTGTAAATTACAATATCTGATCCTACATTCTTTCTAGAAAAAAACAGCGTTTATTTGGTTCGTTTATCACAAAAATTGTAGAAATCACAGCAATTTTAGGAAATGATTACAGTTTTTATTGCTTTAAAATTGCGGGTATTTAAATCAAATCCGTCCCGCTGCCATTACCATAATTTAAAGGGCCGTCACTTAAAGGTTAACCACCTCTAGAATTTTATTATATACTAAACTCCATCATTATAATTTGACTTTTTTACCACTATCTTAGTCAACATACTGATAACATTTAAAATTAATATACAATCACTAATACAAACCAACAACCATGTTACTTCAGTATGAGGTCAGACAAATTTAAATTTTGTGGAGATTTTCCTTTCACATGCATATAGAAAGTATTAATATTGTCTGAATGTTGTTTATATGACATGAAAAACTACTACCACTGGCACAGCAGGTCTGTCTCTTCTCTAAACTTCTGGACCACTTCATTAATATTTGATAAAACTGGGTGAAAAAAATGTGAATATGAGCATTATCAACTAATCAGGACCGGCATTTACCAAGAAACATAAATAAGATTTTATATGTCTCATATGAATATGCAGTGAATCAAAATATTCAGGAAAATACCTACTTTAAAACAGGATTAGAATGTTGTTCAATATGAGTAATAAGTCTTGTTTTCTTCATGAAGAATTTTCCACAGATATCACAGTAGAATACATCAGACAATTCTGCAGCTGTAGAAATAGTACTGCTTTTATTTGGTTTATTAGGAGCACCTTCTTCACACTGATTTTCATTCCTAAAAATACAACAGGTTTGTATTGCATAAGTGAAAATTTAATAACATCATAAAACTGCATACAAAAAGAAAAAAGTTCTTTTTATGTAGTACCAAGACCTTGATTCCAATGGGTAATTTATAGCTTCCAGTTGTATTCCAGACGAATCCTTTTCATTTAGTTTGTACGTATAGCTTCCACTTCTACCTTTGCTGTTTGTCTGTAATGTATCTGGCACATCAGTTTCAGTGTATACAACAATGCTGACATCATTAGAATGTCTCAGATCCTGAACAGAAGTCTCCATTTTTCCAGATACAGTAACTTGACTGTTGTCAGGGGAATTCTCAAGAATTTGTTGTGTGTTCCCATCACTTTTCACAGTTTCTTCTTGGCAAGTCCGAGCTGAATTATATTGAGGTGATGTGGATGTGCTAACATTTTGAACATTGTCAGAATCAAGAGAAAGTACTCCATTATCTGAGAAACAACTTGGAGAATCTGTCATCCCATTACCAGAATACAAGGGATCTTCAACCAACAAAGTCTGACTTGGACACTTGTCAGATGACGGGAGGTGATCTTTGTTTTCATCATCTGTAACAAAATATATTTTAGTTTCAATTACTGTTTTTAATTTGAATTTAATACAAAAATGACATACTTATGGATATAATACAAAATAAACACTATCATACAGGCTTATGAATGTCATATATTTTTTCTATGAAGATCTGCAGATTAAGTCATGAAACTAACCACACATCAGTGAGATAGGTTTAGGATTCCCTGTAGTTCTGGTTCTCAGAAAAGCAAAAATATACCAGCACAAAATCTCTGGCAAAATGAACTGCATAGATCCAAATGCATGCACTATAGCAACTGTGTACGAGATTCCTGAGAAGTTTTTTTAAAGTTATCTTAAGAGAGAGATTACAGAGTGAAGAAATAAACATCCTACCCAACTTATCCTTACTCTCCACTATTTCCGTATATCTCATTTCCTTCAACATCCCAATGTTTGCATTACCTAAGTTGTCAGACAGGCAACACATGAAGGCATTACAAATATTATGAAGAAATTTCACTTTTACTCACCATGCTTAAATAACCTCTGTCTTTGCCTCAGAACTGTTCTTTCCAGCAGTCTTTCCACTTTCTCAGCAGCTGGTCCAGTAGGTTCTTGCCTTTCAAGTGTACCCTGACAATGAACTTCCTCTGTATGTTTACGCTGATGAATACGGAATGATATCTTGGATGTAAAAACCTCCTCACAATGGCGACACTAAAAAATAGATATCTTAAATTACATTAAAAAATAAACATGTATCTTAAATTGATGTTCTTACTTCTTAAGTTTAAGTTCGTTATTTAATGACGCATCAGTAGTGAGACTGTCTTAAGTTTCACTTAAACACATTTTTTTTGTCATTAATATAACTGTAGCTTCCCATATGAATTCAGCACCGAAATTTTAAAACGTTTTCATGAGATATACAAGACCTTTTTACAGAACACAGTATATAATTTATACAGATACAAAATAATAATAATAAAAGATAAGCAGAAATATGATAAAATAATACTAACAAATCAAGAAATCTGATAAAGAGAGTGCTCTTCATGGTAAATAGGCCATGGACTATTGCCAACCTCAACGAATGGACAACATCTCACTGCCAACCTAATCATGAATAAACTGCACACCCAAAATTTTGGTTGCTCATTTTCAGAAACAAATATGACAGGCATTCAATAACATACAGTAATTCTGTCCATAAGTGATGCTTACTGACAGCAATCAGGACATTCTAAACATTTTTAAGAAACACCTAAGAAACAAGAAGAAATATTGCCAAAACTTACTTGTAATAGACTACTCTGCAGCCTCCTCCTCTTACATAAAATTTCAGCAGGTTTCCCTTCATCTGTCACATTATGGTTCTCTTTGTCTTTCTCCAAGTAACTGACTGGGTTGCGACCAAACATGATGGTGAAGGGAGAGGACGACTCTCTGCCAACTGTGGTACAATACTGAAAGAGAAATCTCTCCAATTCCAGATCCCATGCATGAGGACTGGTTTCCACAAATTCATCCAAGAACTTTCCAACCCAAGTGCACTGGCTTAGGTTCTCTTGTAGAAAGAAAGGCAAACTGTGTACTGTGGTACCGCACACCGATGTGAGCTGTGGTTCCATTAAACCACACGTTAAAAAAGCATCTTGTAACCGTGATACATATTCCTTGTATTTACATTGTGCTGTCTCTAGAATTTCTTGTGGAACACCAACAAAACTACATTTTGCAAATCCAAATGTACAAAAAGTTTTATAGAGAAAATGAGCTATATGACAGGCATGATTATTGCCCGGCACGGGACGTGCAACGACCCAGTGACTGAATGGATCAGCTATTGTAATAATGAATTCATTCTTGAGAACAGTCTTTGGATAGGGCCCATACAGTTTCAATTCCACCTAAACAAATGAAGAAAACAAAAATTAGATTCCAACCCTGAAACTAAATTTAAATAAGAAGTTCTTAAAGGAAGAGTCATAGCTTCTGGGATACAAAGCCTGTTGAATGAAGACACAAATCCCACTTTCCTTCAAATGCAGGAAGGCTAGAAATAATGGTAATTTAAAATTTATACAATTTAATTCTCTATTACTGATCACAACTTCAACCTGATGAATGTCAAATAAGGTTAGCTGAGAAATAGCTTCAGAAATTTATGAGTTGCAGTTTTGTTTAATAATCACTGATGAAGTAACAAATTACATGTCAGAAAGACACACTGACTTTCAGTGTGAGTACATAAGCGACATTAAGTCTACAATGAGAAATCATACATATTTCTAAACACACAGAGACCATCATATCTGAAAGTCCATAAGTTTTCTCTTTTCTATTATAACTTCTTCTCTTTCTGGTTCAAATCTGGAATGTCCCGTAACATGGCGATCACTGCAGCTCCTACTTATGTTTTCTTAGTGCTACCAATATTAAATTTAATGAAAATTCATCCATGTAGACTTAAATATATTTTATGAGTGATGAGAAACAATTCTTGCATTTACGCAGTCTTTAGGCTTGGTAACATTATAATGTAGCATCATGTTGCACTTTTCACTTAGGGTTAGTTTTTTTTACAGTCTCATGTGCAATGCTATGTTCTATAAAATTTATTAAAAGTTATTTACTTCACCAGTTTATCACTACATGTTTTGGCCAATGCGGTCATCATCAGGTGCTAAATATTACTGGGTGAGGAAACTGTTGTCTTCTGTTGTTGCTTATGTTGTTAATATATAAGTCCCCTCAATACTCATGTGTGTTTGAGTTGGTGGGTTGTATTCTCTCCTGTTGTGTGTTGTGCGTGTGTCTTGTTGTCATATTTTTAATATATTGTAACGTGTTTCGTTACTGAATATGCCGTAGAGATCGTTAATTGGTTTATTGAACAATCTACAAATATCGGCTACAATTAGTTATCACAATGTTACGGGTTTCCACAGTTTACAAACCCTACAACAAAATCTCTTGACACTATCTTCCAGAGTCTTCACGTATTAATAACGCGGGAGCTATACAAGTCTCCCTGAATTACACACTCCAAATATAACTGGTTATCACTGGTTATCGCACACGCGTCTGTAGCTCGTAACTTGCTAACTGAGAACTCGCTGATAACGCACTGCCTCGTAGGCTTGCTCGGAACTCTCGGAGGTAGCTCGAGGACTATCTTCGGCGATGGCCACGTTACAACTCGGAACTGTCTTCGTCGATGGCCACGTTACAACTCTGCAGTAGCCACATTACAACTGACTCTTAGCTGCTGTGCAGTTCCCTTATATAGCCGCAGTGTTGCCTGTTGCGTGCCACGTCACAGTAGGAAGCGGTTCCGCATCACCGTGTTGCGTCACCGAGCGTTGCATAGCTACCAGGTTGCGGGGGCTCGGCTAACTTCGGCTCCGCTCGTGACGTCACCGCGGGGAGAGTGGCGGGGTGATGACTCGCCTATTACGCGAGCGCTACGTTACCGCTACGTGCCGCTGGGGAGGTAGGGGTCAACATGTCACAATATTTTACAGAATGGCAGGATCCACACAAATATCTAGATGGAAGGTACTTTGAAGCAATTATGAGGAACCACTTCCACAGAATTACTCTGTGGCACTGTTGGAAACTGGGAAATATGTCAGTCAGAATAACTGGGTGTCAGTTTAAGAGTTGAATAACATACTTCCTTCATGCAAGACTAATGCTGAGTCAACTCTGTTCTGTAAATCATTGATGTTAAAAAGTATTTTTGTATTGTTATGACATGGACAAATATTTTAAAGAAAATAACAGAAATCGACAGACATAAATACTTTCCTCCAAAATTGCTGAGCCTAGTAAAATGAAAGATTTTAATTGAAGATGCAATTTCTGAAAAATGGGAATCAAGTCATGTTTAACCTGTCAGCCAAACTGAATAACAGAAAAATATTACAAGTAATTCACCAGCAAGTGATTATCCTGATAATTCTTTTACACTTCATTACCACTGCCTCTCCGTAATTACACAGAAGAAAAATGTCATTAAAACTTATTTTCAATAAAGGAAAGCAGGTGCCATGAAGCACAAAAAGCTTAACAATATTTCTCTCACCTTTTGCCATACTTTACTTTCATTTCCACTTCTTGTATTCTTGTACTTGCCAGAATCATCTCCATTATTAGTTTGCGCCAACTGCTGCGGTTGTCCATGGCCACTGGTTTGTACTTCTGCGGTTTCTGAGCACTGGTTGCACTGACTCACAAAATTTGCTATATCTACATATAATCCCTTCCAGAAATAGAACTGATTAATTCTCACATACATCTTCTTCAATCCCAAGTGAACACCTAATAGGAATAAAATACTGTTAAAATAAACCTGGAGGAACACCATCACTTTACAGGAAACAAAAAAGAGATATAAATAGCAGACATTTTAATAAAACCGAAATTCTTCAAATTTACTTTTATTTGTGTGTTATTTAATGATGATTTCAGTTACCTACATAGCATCAAATGAATGGATGACAGACAAATGATAACTTGGAAAGGATTTGGAAGAAAAGGGTCAAGGCCAAATCAAGGTACTAGTCCCCCACCACCAAGCTGCCAGGAGGGACTGAGACAAACCATGAAAAATTCAAACAGGACAGCCAATGTCCCAGATGAGATTAAACCTCAACACCTTCCAAATATGAATCACAAATATTACATTACTTCATTCCATCCAGCAATTCATCCTGTCATTAGCCAGGTGTTTCAAACTTATTTGAAAGCTCCAAGTGGTTCTATGAGAACTCACATGTCCACCAAGATCAATGACTGCAAAAATTTCTGCACTATCTGTATATCACTTACCTATAATACATAGTCTTAAAGAGTCACTGCAAGTCACAAGAAGTGAACCGCTAGACACAGGTGTCATTTTCTATTAATATTTCAATGGTAAGATATAACAACAGACATTTTTTTAGCTATCCCTGTAACAGGCCTTGGAGGCCCATAGGGTTGTGAGACATTGAGGGTCCCACATTATCTAGACAACCGGTTCAAAGATGGTGGTAAGGTTGTCAGCCTTACGCACCAGCCGCACTTTGCCCCCCAGGAAAGTTCCTGGTACTCATTTCTGTTAGAGGCTGAGTCGACCCCAGGGCAATAGTGTGGCTGGAAGGATTAGGTCAATTGAAAAAATCCAATGACCTCATTGGGACTTGAACCCGTGACCTTCCAGCTTGTAGCATAGTGCCTCAACCAACTACGTTATGGCATGCCCCCAACAACAGCCATTAAAAACTGAAATAACTTCAGCTTGGTGAAATCAAATGGAAGGATATCCAACATGCAGCGTGGAGAACTCAGTCTGTTGGTCACATGACTCTGCCAGTTGTGTGCAAAGAATTCTTACAGAAACCCAATACACAGTCAAAACAATACATTCTTGCTTTCGTTAATATGTGAAAGTCTTCCTAGGCTACATATCAGACAGACAGATGAAAGGCTTCGGATACACATCCTGTAATGCAACCACAAATTCAACTAGCCTCTGCTGTAATGGCACATGCATTAATGTGCATTAGGGGGGATGACAGGTAGCTCAACTAAGGGAAGTTGGGAGAACTATCATGTGGCAGTTGAACATATGCATGTCACAAATGTGTTTTCAAGTAACTGTATAAAAATGGTAAATTTTCTTTGAAATAAGTGCTGGTTGGATGAGAATTCCAGATACTTGGATATCAGATAACCAAGAGTTTATGGTATAACAAGTCATACATATCTTAACATTATATGAAATTACTACACATTACATCACCTGTTCCTTCTTCAACGTGAATCTTCTTCAGAATCTCCCTCTGCTGTGCCTTTTCCATAATTACTCTTTTATGTAACTTCTGACCATAGTAGAGTATACCTTCCATAATCTAGAAATATTAAATAAGCATGCAGTCTAGAACATTATCAGTTCTGTGCCTTACATTAGCTCAATGTACGTGTACTTGTATTCGCTCAGAACTGCATTTCTGTCAAAAGACAGCATCAACTGAGATTTATTGATGCTTACAGGAAATAACAGGCTTTCACCCTATCCATACCTGTGGTTGTTTGGAGGTAATTTGAGGAAATATTGTGTGTTTTCTGTGCAACTGAATTTATCTTCAAGCAGCCTTGGTATTTCTAGCAGGTGATCCCATATCAGGGCTTGCCAGTCAAAGGGTTACTCATAAACACACACTATACTCCAACTATTCATGTGAGAGTGCATTCAGTGTTTGTCAGACACAATAACTGTTTATAATAATTTTCCTCATAAAAAGGATTTTGAACTCTGTTATGTACGAACAGTTCTATTTTCTGCAATATAATGATGTGTATTCTGCTGAAAATCGACCAACATTTTGGAAGATCCATCTTCAGGGTTGAAGAATAATCCAATCAAGAAACCACCATGAAAATCTTCTTGCTACCTGCTTCATACTTGTTTCTTACTTGGATTATCTTTCCACCCTGAAGATGGTGACATGTTCCTCCAAAACATAGGCTGATTTTCAACAGAACATGCAATATTGTATTCCAGAAGACAGAACACCTTTAAACTACTACCACAAGAACCTCAAATCCTACATCTGTTATTCATATTGCAAGGAGAAAGGTGCCAAATAAAACAAATTTATTCATTTATAACTGAACTCCAATCCACCAGCAATGCTTACTTACTTACTTACTTAATCACTCATGGAGCTGAGCCCTTCTGGAGGAGCCGCCAAATCTGCAGCTACTCAAGAATTTCCCAGCATTTTATGGAACCTGAAGGTTCATCACCATGTTCACAAGAGCCCTCCACTGGTCCATATCCTGAGCCAGATCAATCCACTCCAAACCAAACCATCCCATCCTGTCTCTCTAAGATCAATGTAATTTTGCCCATCCACCTATGCCCTGGTCTTCCCTGTGGTCTCTTTCCTTCTGGCTTTCCCATCAATGTCCTATATGCATTCCTCTTCTCCCCAGTTCGTGCTACATGCCCTGCCCACCTCATCCTCCTTGACTTTATCATTATAATTATATTTGGAGAAGAGTACAAGTTATGAAGCTCCTCATTATGCAGTTTTCTCCAACCTCCTGTCACTTCATCTCTCTTCGGTCCAAATATTTTCCTCAACACCCTATTCTCAAACACCCTCAGTCTATGTTCCTCCTTAATGTCAGAGACCAAGTTTCACACCCATACAGAACCACAGGCAAAATTATAGTTTTGTATATTATAATTTTTATGTTTTTGGACAACAGACGAGAAGGCAAAAGGTTCTGGACTGAATGGCAGCAAGCATTACCCAAGTTCAATCGCCTCTTAATTTCCTCCTGAATCGGGTTTCCATCTGTTATCGTTGTTCCCAAATTTCTGAACTGTGCCACATTTTTGAAACATCTGTTTCCTATCTTTATGTCATGATTTTGCCCTGCATTTTGGTGACAAGACAGTAACATATACTTAGTTTTCTCTGTGTTTACTTCTAAACCA